TGTCAACTGTTAGGATGGTGAGACAGAAGGGGAAGGGGAAGCAGAGCGTTTCTTCGTCCTGAGACTGGTTGCCATAATATTCACAGGCTTTGTAAATACCGCCTGTACGCAGAGTTCCTGACTGGCCACAGGATTCTCAAATTATTTTAAAGATCTTTGTTTCTAATGGAAAGGAAACAAACTAATTATACAATGCATTTTTAAATTATTGTTTAAAAACTTTGAAACAATAAATGTGAGCAAAGATTTAGTACAAGCTAATTCTTCCGATTTTTTATATCAGCCAAAAGTTTAATAATTAGGGATTGTTAAATCAGTGGTTCTCAATATTGAACAATGTGTGGAGATCTTTTTATTGTCACTGCTGGGGAATTGCTTGTGTCATTGGGGTCAAGGCCAGGGATGCCACTCGATACCCTGCCATGCACAGGACAGACACCTCCACCTGACAGAGAATCATGTGGTCTAAAATACCAATAATGCACCCTGGCTGGTTTGGCTCAGTGGTAGAGCATCAGCCCATGGACCAATGAATCATGGGTTTGATTCCGGCCAAGAGCACGTGCCTCAGTTGCAGTTTGTCTCCAACCCTGGTTGGGGTCGTGTGGGAGGCAACCAGTCCATGTGTCTCTCTCACATCGATGTTTCTCTCTCTCTCTCTTTCTCGTCCTCCCACTCCCTCACACTCTATCTGAAGATAAATAGAAAAATATTCTCGGGTGAGGATTAAAAAAAATCAATAATGCCAAGGTTGAGAAACCCTGGGTTAACTAAATTAAATATAACTATTCAATAGAATATTATACATTAGCTAAAAATATTTTTATAAATTAGTGATTTTTCAACTCTGGCTGTGTATTAGGATATGTGATGAGTCACCTGAAGGGCTTGAAAAGAGGCCCCATCCCAACCAATCATGATTAGACTCTCTGGGGCGGGCCATGGTCAGGGCTGTTGTATAATCTGTCCAGGTGATGGTCATGCAGAGCCAGAATTGCGAACCTTTCATCCAGACTCACAATATATAAACATATTAAATGATAAGGAATTATATACATGCTAAGTTTAAATGAAGCTTGTAACAAAGCAGTAGGTACAGTATAATTAAATTTTTATTAAAATATATGAAAGATAAAATATATGTATGTTGTAAAAATGTGTTTACACTGTAAAATGGTACCAGTGTATAACAGCACTTATTTGTATTTTCTGACTTGATCACAACAAACATGTATTTCTTTGTAATGAAAGCCAATAGACCACTGTGGAAACAGTCTGTCAGTTTCTTATAAAACTAAACATGCTAGGACCATATGCCCAGCAGTTATACTCTAGGGTGTTTAGCTTGGAGAAATGAAAACTCTGTTCACAGGAGAACCTGTACATGAATGCTTACAGCAGCTTTATTTATAATAGCAAAGATGAAACAACCCAGATGCCCTTCACTGGGTGAATGGTTAAATAAATTGTGGTACATGGAATAGCGCTTAGCATCGAAAACAAACAAGCCACTGATATGTGAAATAATCTTGATGAATCTCCAGAGAACTGTGCTGAGTGAAAAAGGTCAGTCCCAGAAGGTTACATACTATATAATTCCATTTGCATACCACTTTTGAAGGGACAAATTTAGAGACGTGGAGAATAAGTCAGTGGTTTCCAGGGTTAAGGAGGCTGATAAGAGGAAGTAGGTATGACTACAAAAAGGCAGCATCCCTTGTGGGGATGGAAATGCTCATATGTTGACTGCATGGAAGTTAGTATTCTGATATTGTCCTGTAATGTTACAAGATGTTACCAATGGGGGAAACTAGGTAAAGAAGGGTAAATGGGATCTCTGTGTTATTTCTTAAAATGACATGTGAGTTGACAATGATCTTGAAAGTTTAATTTTAATAAAGACACTAGGAATCAATTTTAGTTAGAAAAAAACACCTATGTGTTGAATTAATTTTTGCCTTAAGGAAATTTATCTTTTAAATAGTAACAAAATGTATGTGTATAGCAAAAAAGTTGCCTTAAGAAATAAAACCACCTATTACACTTCGGAGTTGGTGACTATGAGGATTTAATTTTCAGGTAACGCAGCCTCCCTACGACAGCACAATGAGGATTACTGCATGGTTTCCTCTTCAGCGAATCACTTATCCTAGGTAAGCAGGAACATACCAATGATGGGACAAGATGGATGCAGAGAATTAGCCTTCACCTGGTTCATTAGCCTTCTTGGTTTCTGATGGGTGTAAATGTGGTGAGCCCCAGGTCTAACCAAAAGTCAGTGGAAATATGAGGAGCGATACATTTAAATAGAAATGAACGCTGTTCAGGTACATCTGTCAGGTCTTTGTTCTTCAGTTCAGGGAACATCAGCATCACAGGGAGCTGGCTAACAATGCAGACTCCCTCAGACATGTGCCCCGTTACCAATTCTGTGGCTCAAGGTGTGGGCCACAAATCTGCATTTTTAGCAAGTGCCCCAATGAAACCAGATTTTCAGGAACAGAGATGCCAATAACTGGACTGCCCGAGAAGAGACCACATTTCTCTTTCCTCAAGGAAGATTAAAGGGATTTGTTCTTGTTCTGGAGCTTATACGGACAATTAAAGGAAAAATTGCTGAGAACTGAATTCATGCCTAAGGAACGTACTAGATGTGGGTGCTTAGCTGCAGAGAGAAGAAACGTGGAGGCCACTGAGCTGTACTGATGAGACCACAGCTACATGGTCCCAGGTCTCCGGAAAACAACTGGGGGTATACAGAGGGGGACTGTGAGGAAGCTGGACCTCCCAGCTCTGTGGCTGGGAGCAGCATGCAAAGAACATGTGAGTACTTTTCACCCTTTGGAGGACCAGTGCGCGTTCAGGAAACACTGACTGCACTATCCAGGCAAAAACAATTGTAAACAATGCATAAACATTGTCCAGTCTTCACAGTCCCTTTACGCTATCATTTTTGCCACCACACTGGGCAAAATAAGACCTCAGCACTTTATTCCTGTCTACTAGCATAGTAACTTTCTCCACCTATCTTCCAGATCTACTTCCGGTCTTCTCAGCTGCCAGGTTTATTTGTGACCTGTTTTGCACCCTTGTCTGCCCTTCTCAGTCTGTTTCTTGGCTATGGCTTTGGCTTCTCTCAGTAATATTTCTGATTATGCACTTCAGCTGCTTGGCCTCTGGTCCTCTGAAGTACATACTCTTCCCAGCTCACAACTCCAGGAATCTCCAATCGCAGTCTGGCCTGGTTGAAGATGCTCAGCCGACCAAGATGCCTCATCACCATGTGCTGATGATGTTAACTGTACAACCACTGGTGAAGTTCTTGGCTACCAGTGGCCAGAAGAGTGTTCCTCTCCTGCCTCTTCTTCTGCCTGTCCTAATTTGGTCTCATCTGTTCGGATATTCTGTCTTTTCCTTTTTCACATGGTCACAGTGCCCATTGACCCTTAGCTTCCAGGACTAGTTAAAGAATGGCAAGCAGGTCTCTTCTTAATACCAATTCAAATCAATTGTTAATAGTTGCAGGGAGCCCTGGCCGGTTTGGCTCAGCGGTTAGAGTGTCGGCCTGCGGTCCTGAGAGACCCGGGTTCGGTTCCCACTAGGGGCATGTACCTCGGTTGCAGTTTGTCCCCGGCCCTGGTTGGTCGTGCGGGTGGCAGCCACTCGATGTGTTCCTTTCACATCGATGTTTCTCTCTCTCTCTCTTCCTCTCTCTCCCTCCCACTCTATCTGAACAAAAAATGGAAAAATGTCCTCGGGTGAAGATTAAAAAAATATATATATATTTGCAGGGAGTGTAGCATTTATTTATTTTTTTTAATATTTTTTTTCTTTATTGATTTTAGAGAGAGAGGAGGGGAGAGGGAGAGGGAGATAGAAACATCAATGAGAGAGAACATCGATTGGCCGCCTCCTGCACACCCTCCACAGGGGGTTTGGCCCACCACCTGGGCATGTGCCCTGACCAGGAATTGAACTGGTGACCTCTTGGTGTGTGGTTTGATGCTCAACCACTGAGCCACACCAGCCAGGCAGGGAGTATAGCATTTAAAAGATAACATGGGACCTCCATATGCCACCCAATTCCTGCCTTGGGTTAGGGTGTGGGCAGTCCTCAAAAAGACCAGCATCTTTGGACTAAACAGTTTCTTCTTTTCTTTTGGGTTGATATGTTAACTGTATATATTTCACAATATCTCTTTGCATTCCTTTACTCGAGCCTCAACCTTTTAGTAAAGAAGCTACAGTTGGCCCTTGAACAAGACCCCCTGCACAGTTGAAAACCCATTTATAACTTTGACTCTTCCCAAACTTAACTACTGATAGCCTACTTTACTGATAACATAAACAGTTGACTAATACGTATTTTGTATGTTCTATGTATTATATACTGTATTCTTACAATAAAGTAAGCTAGAGAAAAGAAAATGTTATTAAGAAAATCATAAGAAAGAGAAAATACATTATGTTAACTCAAAAACTCTGTGCATAAATGAGGCTGCACAGTTCAAACCCACATTGTTCAAGGGTCAGCTGCATTTCAAATGCATTAACATTTTTTATCCATATTTGCAGATATAAAAATATCTGCAGAACAGAAACTGCACGAACTATGTCTTTGGTCCAGTGCCTTTAGCAGAACCCATTTTGCAATTTTTGTCTGGAAATTGTACAAGTCATCCTAGCTTCAGGCTGAACCACGAGTCCCTTCTGGGTGGAATGATGTCAGAAAAAAACTGCCCCCCATTACTGAAAGCACTTTCCTTTAGGGGGGTTTCTTATCTTTCACTATCGATTATCTGAAGTTACTGGTCTCTAATGACAAAATGTTGCCTCTTATAGTTGAAATGTAAATACCCAGATCATAGGGGTTAGCACACAGTTTCATTCTTATCTTCCTACACAAAATCAAGGCATTCCACAGCAGGGAGTCCTACCTGTGCCCTGGTAGGTCACTTCCCTACCAAGTATCTTCTCAAAGGAGCACTGACCCAACTTACCTTGTAATGGAAGAGAAACAACCCACAGAACAGGCTGTACAAATCTGCTGTGAGCAGGGAGAGGTTGACAGAAGTAGCGCTGGTTTTCTTGATGACGACCGGCATGAAGCTGTAGAGACCAAACATGCAGGCACTGAAGCCGACGTAGAGCAGACCTGGGGGGAGAGGAAGACAGGCAGCATCAAGCCTCCTCCAGGCCTGTTCATGTCCACAGTGGGTGGAAGAAGGGGACCTGTGCACACCAGTGATCATTCACAGAAGAGAGTTTTTCTTTCACTCCATTAACTGATGTCTAGCATTGGGTATGACATAGCTAAAACATTAAAAGTAAAACAATAAATTTTCTGCTTCTCACTACTTATCTGACATTTTGCTTCTTCTAGGAAGGAGTGGCTCTTAGTGGCTACAGTCAGAATACAAGTTCAGGTTTCTGAATCGTATTCTCAGTTGTGGGGTAATTAGCTTCTGTCCATGTCTGTTACAGCTTCTTTCATCTCTTAGTTTTTTATTTGCGAAATAGGAACAAAACTGTTGGTATCACGCATTGTTCACAATGATAAGTTACTACATAATCCTTAAAGTTGAAAGGCTTACCTGTCAAGAGATCGGGACTAAGTCAGAGTATGAAATGGAATACTAACTGCGTGACCTTGGGAAGAAAACTTCATTGCTCTTTGTGCAGATGATCTTGCCCATCTGTCAATCCTGCCAGCCCTACTGCCCGCACACAGACCTATTCCTTTATCACCTTTCCTAGCATGTCGTGGGTGCTCACATGTAAATGCTGTTATTTTATAAATAAATAGGTAAATACTTTGCAGATCATCAAAGGATTAAGCTGTGTAAAAGAGAAAGAAAAAAATGTCCTTAGAATGCAATATGGTCATCCAGTCTCTCAGCCTCTAAATCTCTCTCTAATTATAACTAGATACACAGTTGTTAATACTAATTCCATAAGTACACAATTTTGTTGGGTCCCAAGCTGAAGTTTATGGCTAAGTCTAGAGTTTGGTTTATTTTTTCATAGATGTTGATACAACACACATGTAGAAAAATAATGCTCATTTTTCTACTTTGAAAGAATAAGGCATAGAATAAGCACAAGTGATACAATTCAGTGGATCTTTGGGCTTTACAATGTAATAAAAATAACCAAACTTTCCAAAGGAATCCTTGATATAGTGTATCTGCTGTGGGCCATGGGCAGATGGCTTCCTTGAGTCCTGTGCACTTTGGAGCATTTGGTAGGTACTATCATCCAGTCCCTTTGACTATGAAGACCAGTGACTCCCCCAAAGAGGAAGTTTGTTTTACCCGTGTGAAAAATATTTCAGGGCATACATCATCATCTGTACATTTCTGCTCCGAAGTATACAAAATTATTTTGAACAGTAAGTAAGCCAACTCAGTGCAACAGCCCCCTCTAGTGTGGTGGAAGTGCCCCCAGAGAAAACTGGAATAACCTTTCCTATTCTACCCTGTACGAGTCCTCTCGTGGATACTCTGCCATAGCGCTATCAGATGGCTTCCGCCTCCCCAGCAGAAGTCTTAATTCCCTAAAAATGGTCAATTTCCCTGTAACTGGTTTCATGTTACCTATCATTCATTTTCCTTTTAACCAAGTTACTGAAAACGCACTACTAAATAACCTATGATCAATACATGAAGAGATATAAAAATTAATTCAGTATACCTTTAAGGAATCTGAGGCTAGGGGCAAGATATACTCTTAAATTAATTCACTAAAAATAATCAAACTTGATCTGAACAGAGTCCAGGCACCAGAGATACCCCAACACCCCCTTTTTTGAGAACTGATTTAGACTGCACATGACTAGGCTAGAATGTTCCAGAATTCTACTCTTCCATTATATTACCTAGCACACCATGGGTGCTCACATGTTGGCTCTGATGTTTGACAGTCACTCAAGTATTTGTTCATTGCCTGCCTGCTATGCCCTGGGCACTCTGCTAGGGCTACACAACAGGCCCCGAGTTGGAGCTAGTGATCTGAAGAAAGAATAGGGTTCCTACGGAGAAAGGCGGGGGGCTTGCTGTAGGAAGGCGGACTAGTGAGGCTCCTCTGTGGAGGGGCATTTGCCTTGGTGGCTGAAGGACTGAAAGGCACTGCCACAGGAGGAGCCAGGGGAGGAGTGTCCTAGGCAGGGTTCTCTGCACAGGAAAGCACCCTCAGCCCTCTGTTCCAGGGCCTGGGGAGACGCAGGAACTGTCAGGGACAGACCTCTGAGCAGGATGAACAGAATGGGGAAGGGATGAGAGCTGAGCTTAGAGAATCAGGCAAGGGGTGAGTTATGCAGGGCCCTGTATGTCTTGGAAAGAAATAGTCTTATTCTAGTTGTAATAAGAAGCCTGTTAGGGGTTTGTAGCAGGTGGCTTATATCTGATGTACGTTTTTCAAAGATGACCGGCTACTGTGCGGAGAAGGGAGTGGAAGGAGAAAAGTGAAGGAGGAGACCAGGGAGAAGCGCAGTGTCATTGTCTAGGCGAGAGATGCTGGTGGCTTTGCTTAGAGTGGCCGTGGAGATGAAGGGAAGAGGCAGGGTCTGTGAAGACTCAGGTGCTGGTGACAGACTGGATGTAGGCAGCGAGGAGAAGGAGGGCATCAAGGATATCCTTGGGTTCTTAGGGGTTCCGGCTAATTTGTAAACTGGGTGAATTGTGACGCCATTTACTGAGAGGAAGAGAACTGAGGGAGGACCAGGGTTTTCAGAGAACGTAGAAAGCTCCATTTTGAACGTGTTAAGTTGTAAATGCTTATGCATCCTCCTAGAGGATTTGTCCAGTAGGGAGCTACATGTACAGTCAGCTGGCTCAGAGGAGAGGTGTGACGTTACAAGCATAATTTGTGAGCCAAGGAGAGTAGGAAAATATACACACAGTGGAGTTTTACTCTATTCATCAGACTCCCTTGGAATGCTTCCAGCGTTAACATTCTAAAGGTGTTTTTAAAAACTGTAGAGATTAAATGTAGGGGGATGGGAGCGGAATGTATACACCATCCCAGTTAACCACTTTGCCAGGTCAGTCAGTGTTTTCATGTGTGAAGATCCTGTTTTGTGAGCAAAGCATATCCCTCAAATGAACGAACACATGATTGACTTAAGAGTGGGAACTCAGGATTGCTGCAGTTTGCTGATTTGCTGTTCTCGGATGGGCTTAGCTCGTTAGTGGATGCTAGCAAGGCATTGAAGGCCCAATGTGTTGTCCATGCAGGGTTTTCAAACAGTCGATAAACTTCATGAAACAAATGGAGTGTATTAATCTTTGACTGACAACTACATAATGGCTGTAGTAACTACATTTATACACAGGGTATGTGTACAACCATTTCTTAATTGAAGTGTTTTCTTTCTCACTGAAGATAGAATCCATTCACTCTTGTCCTCATGCACCATGAGACAAGCTAAAGGGCTAAAGAGATTTGAAAAGACTACGGTCAGCTAATACTGATTGAGAGCTTGTGATGGGTCATGTACTTTATATACATTAATTAATGGATCTCCACCACAGTATAATGTCATTACTATTGTTACACTCTTTATACAGATAAGGAAATGAGCGTAGAGAGTATATCAGTCCATACCAGGTTCAATAGACGACATTTAATATGGGGCACAAGTGACAAAGGTGTTTGAGTGGATGACAAGAAACACAATGTTGAGGCGATGCAGAGATCAGCAACAGCGTAACTTACATGCCCTCAGCTAGACAGATCCAGTGGGGAGGCCATGTAACCAGGGGTCAGAAGGCAGGGAACCCAGCAGACTTAGCATCACAAAGGAAACTCAGCCTTTTCTAGAGACCCAACCCCAAACAGAAAGACACAGGGAGGAGCACCCTAGTTTCTTTCTCCCACCCTCCAATCTCTCTCTACTGCCTCCCATTGGCTAAGCCTAGCCAAAAGCCCGTTGACTAGGGCATCTGGGAAGAATAGTCAGCATAAGCCTCTACATTGCAGAGCAGAGCAAGTGAGGATAAGAAACAGGTGGATCTGAGAGTAAACAGGCAAAAGGCCAGCGTACAGAGGGAGTGACTTGCCTTCAGGTCATACAGGCCATCTGATGTTAAATTCTGAGCACATGCCACTGTCTCTATTTATTTAATTATTATGAAGAGAAATAGGGCTTTGAAGGAGCATCCTATTTGATTCTAGTGAGCATCTCATTTTACAGCAGTGAGCTTGTCAGGTCCCCTCAACTCCCCAGGCCCCCGTGGCAACACTGGTTTAAGAACAAAAACAAAAACAAAAGGTGTATTCTTAATTTTCCTTAAGGTCCATCCTGCTCTGTGGTTCCATTATTCTGTCTAAGGGAAAGGTCAACTGTCCTGTTTCAGCCTCCAGGGAAAAACCCCAAATAAGCATCACCCACCACATGAGCAGTGACGAAGCGCCTGTGTCCCCCAGACCTAGGCTAGCTGACCCAAGCACATTTCTGTCCCCGACATTCAGCTTTCACATCAGCTTACATGTGTTCACATGTCTTTTACCACAATGTGGCAAATGGGAGACAGAGAATGCTCAAGTCATTTACCAGATTTCCAACTGTGACTTGAACACCTGCTGCCCAGGGGGACATTTTAGCTCTATTCATCGCACGTTTTTCTTTAATGATATCGTAACTAGACCCAGCCTTTCTGTTCAATAGAGTAAAACAAAAAAAATAATAATAAAACAACAATACCTGTTATTCTTCTTGCTTTTAAATGCTTTGTATCTTTAATTGGTCAATGTTATAGGAAATAACAGAATCTACTTTTTTTTAAATGCTTTCCAAGTCCAGAAAACTATAAAACACATTTACTATTCCATAGGGGGGAAAAACAACTTTTTACCTTGAGAAAGTGGCAACCATGTGTGCTGTTCATGAGACTGTGTAAAGAGATGACTGACGTGGCGGGAAGGAAGGGAGAGAAATGCAGATAGGTGGAGGGAGGTGAAGGAGGTCTGGATGCCCGTCTCCCAGCTAAGACACTGTGAGTTCTCCAGCAAGACTCAGCAGTCAGAGCACAAACTGGGGAGACTTTGCAAGGCGCGAGGGGATGCTTTGGGGAAGTGCTTTTTAAACTTTTTCATCTCATGGCACACATACACTGATTACTAAAAGTCTGCGGCGCATCGGCAAAATAGATTTTTTTGCCGATCTGACAAACAAATTGGTATACTTTTGATTCATTCACACGGGATGGCTATTGTTGTGTTGGCTGTGGTCATCTTTTCATGTGACAATCTAAAGGAGAGAGGCCGGTGTCCGTGACTAAAAGTCAGGTGTTGCATGTTTAAAAATCCTTCAGCACACTGGACGCAAGTCCATTCCAGGAGGATGCTGACCCCCCGATACTGCCCTCCCTCTCTGGTCCATGAGTCCCAGCAGCTGGGGTGCCATCTCCTGGCTCCCCAGAAAGTACCTGCAGTGTCAAGTCTAAAGTCTCCTGCCATCCTCTTCGCATTCATTCATTCACTTACTTAATAAATATTTATTCACTGAATATGTGCCTAGAATTAAGCTGAACAATAGAACCTTGTAGAAGTAGGTCAGGGTGAGGTGATGAGGACAACGGTAGCCTTGGAGTAAAAAAAAGCCTCAAACTCAACCCTATCATTGCTTCAGAAAGTAAAGGATGAACATTTGATTTCCTCTCTAGACCTTCGTGGCCCCTTTCCCATCAGGAATTAAACAAACGGCTCCATAATGTGTTCCTTTTCCATGGCCTTTCGTCATTTCTGTCAGCAGGGGTTGACATTTTAACGGCAATAGGAGAGCTCAGAATAAAACTACCTTTCGATCACACATTTAACTAGCACTGAATTATAACAGAACCTCAGTGGACATGCACACGGCATGCACATAATTAGAGGACACATTATTTTTATTACTGCTATTACTGTTAATATAAATGAATGTATACTCATGGACCACTGCGTGTGGAATATTACCGAGTACGGGTGACATGGTTTCCTGGAGCTGAGAGTCACAAAGGCAAATATGTCTGTAACCTGCAGCTGGTTTCCTTCCAGGATGCCCTCCTCACCCCCTGCCCCCATCACCCCCTCTCTATTGATTTCCATTTAATTGTGATATTCTATAACAAAGCTCGGGAGAAAGTAAATGGCAGGACTCCGACAGACACAGGGCTGGTCGGCCCTTGAAGTCACTAGAGCTAATCCCCTGGGAGATTATTCTGTAGTTTGCAGCATGTCCTCAGAGGGAGTTATCTCAGCAGCACGTGGCCTTGGCTGCCCTGGGGCCGAGGGCAGGTGAGGGGGCGCAGGGAAGTCTATGTCCTTGCTCATGGAAACAGAATTTGACTTAGGCTGTTAATTTCATCAAAGCTCATGTATACTGCAGATGACTCAAACAGCCATCTTCGGAATGGGGGACCATGGGTATTTTCACCCTCATTCATTGTGCACACAACTTCCAAGCATCCCCACAAGCCAAGCGCTGTGTTCATTGCTGGAACTCAGGTGTCTTGGTATCACCACTGAGGGGGCTGAGGGTTTTAAATGGCAGTCCCTCCTGAAGCTCTCTGTGTGCTCATTAGAACATCACCTGGGATCTCCAGTTCTTGTCCTATTTTTTTTTTAGAGAAAAGTGATTTTAGAAAGAAGTGGAATCTGAGTTGCCCTGGATGACTAACCAGCTCAAATTGTCTCTGGTATTTTTCACCAAGTCCATTCGGAGATCAATTAACTATTCCTTATGTGCAAAAGGCTCCCTTGTGAGGAGGTTTTCATGGGCTCAGAATGTCCATTACATTGTTTTTCTTTTATGTTTTTTTGTTAAGTTCCCTTTGCCCCTTTACCAAAGTGCCGCTTTCTGATGATCACAGCAGTTGTGTGTGTCTCGGTGAGTAAATTGCTGTCATTTACGGCTCACCACTGCCTCAGGGCACTCTTTCTTCCTGGTTGGTCTTTAACCTCCTAACATATTTCTGCGTCTCCACTAATGACATCTCGATGATGATTATGGGCCAAAGCTCAATTAGGAAGCATTATGAATCATACAGCTCAGTCTTTTATATTGTGTAAGAATTCCTAAAATGACAAGGGATTTCGTGTTCTTTTGTCCCCTGCATTCTAAATCCTTTCATTGTTCATGCCTCGCCCCCATCCACATTAGTCTTCAAACATATTTCTCAGGTTCCCTAAAAACAACTTCCTCGGCGAGCAAACCCCTTACCTATTTGCCAATCCCAGGGCACCTTTAGCAGCTCCTTGTGCTCCATGATAGCCCTGCAAATGGAAAGAAAGTAGATCAATGAGCAAGATTGTGACGCATCCTCCTTCTTTTCACTTACCAGATTTATACAAATCATGCAGCAACCAATTGGGCTTCAAAACTACCTCTGGGCCACGCAGAGGCAAGTCTGATTAGGCAGACGGAGGTTTATCCTGAAGCGTCTGGTCAGGTGTGGCCAGCAGCGTGAGAGTGTGCAGGGGCCATGGTGGTGCTCCAACCTCCCACCGAGCCACAAACCCAAGCAGTCTGCCTACAGCCTTTGTTTCTCCTTGCTCACATGCTTCCTGAAGAGTAAACGGCGAGGTTCGGAAAATTTCTGGGCTTGTAGGTTTAATCAATTTTCTGACTGAACATTGTCTGGGGCAGTGATTCTCAAGTTTAAACGTGCAGAACAGTCACCTGGAGAGCATGCTGAAATGGTTTCATGGGTCCCATTCCTAGAGAGTCTGATTCCGTAGGTCTGAAAGGGGACCGTGGATGTGCATGTGTGAGGAGTTCTGGTGGAACACCGGGGCTGCTGGTCAGGGAAGCACACGGAGAACCACTGCTCTAGAAGGTGAGGTTGGCACCCTCCACCAGCGCTGTTTGCTTTCAGTGTGCCCTCAGTGTACCCCATTGGCCAAACTCACCCACATGCCACTTCCATTATTTTGGTAGCAGTGCATCTGAAGGGCCCAGTTGGCTCTGATGGACTGTAAGTGAAGCAAATGAGCACTAGATCCCTGAATATATTTTTTGGATTCAGGAATAATAATCCATAAAATGAGCCATTCATCTACAAAATATTGGTTCTGACTAGTCGAACTAGGTAATTTCTTTTCCTCTCACACACCTAAAGCACAAAATTTAGAAGCTCTAAAATGCCATCATGCTTTCAAAATGAACCCAAAATAAATCCTCGAGAGTCCGCCCATCTCCATGCCTCGTGTGCTTTAGAGCTTTCTACTTCTAGCTGAGGGCACTGAAGTTGGGAGGATTGTTGGAAACTGCTCATCTGCAAAACATGACTGAGGGGATGATGCCAAGATATCTTCCCGGAAGAATTTCAGACTGAACCAATATAATTACAAGGTACTTGCTTTGTGGAAGGTGATTTGGTGAAACCAGAATCGCTTGCTTTGGGAAAACAGATTTGGTGAAATTAAACGAGGTCATACGTTTATTCATCTCTTTTGTGAAACTCAAATATATGGTCTTTCTTGATGAAAAATTAAACTTTGTTTGACACCTATTCTCACAACAACTTGCGAGGCACAAGACCGTGATGGCTTATGTGTACCAATGCCAGAATTATTGCAAAATTGGTGTTTTTTATTTTTTGAGGCTTTGTGAGTGCCTGCGTTATATCTTCACCTTTTTAAGGAAAATGGAAACACTAAATTTCTAAGAGATGAATTTGAAATATGATTCACTCATGCACATCCATGGGCACTAAAAGAACACATGTATAAAAGGGCAAGTTTAAACTGTAAGTTTTCTTGTGGCAGTTGTCCCAGGAAACAGAATGTCCCTTTGGGGAAGTGCATCAGATCATGGCATTTACACTTAGTTTTTCTATTTCTCTAAGTAAAACCCAACTGGCTGGTTTGGGAGAATCAATGCACTTCTAAAGGTTTCTTGTAAATTATCTTCAAAGTTCATTAAATGTTTTTCTAATAACTTATAACAAACTTGTTTAGATTGGAAGAAACTTACTAATAAAGATATTACGTTTTCAGATCTCATGTGGGAAGTTGGTAACAGGTTCTTAGCTTTGATTTTTAGAAAATAAAGTGACCATCCCTATGCCAAAGAAAAAAAATTGTTAAGCATAAGCCCTAAGAGTCTCTACTGTCTGAGTTCCTTGTTATTTTTACTCACAATTGAATTCCACTGAAAAATGCCCCAAAGAGTCCGATCATTCCCAGGAATTCCACTCGGCTCAAGGTTCGGATGATGTATTCTTCCCAGACATTAGAGATACCGTAGAGTGTGGCTCCTCCTAAGACCAGAAGGTCCCCTACCAGTTTATTTTCCCCTAGGAACAACAACAACAACAAAAACAGAGGAAGCTTCATTAAAATTTTCCTAACAAGGACTTAGCACCATCAAAATCAGCTCCCCAATGGCTATTCTATTCTGACATGTTTGCAGAAGCTCTGTAACTTGCCAACTGAGATTTAGTCAAGTTTGTTTATGGGCAGCCAGGAGTTTTACTTAAGGAAGGGACCAATTTCTTCAAGATGGCACGGTCTCCACAAAGCCCATGCTTTCACCCAGGAATATGTCTATGAATATATGCTAATACATGCGCATGTTATATTTGCTGCAGGGTTTTTTCCAGCAGTTTAGTGAACATGGTGAGGAACAAACAGAAGCAGTCTAAGTCTCCGCCCTCTGCTCTACAGGGAGAGAAGCTGTAACAGAAGCAGTTGAGACTCTCTTTTGACCACAAGAAAAATGTGTCTGTCCCTGCTTAGAAAATGAGACTGAAAGGGATTATGGGTTGAAGTTTTTCACTTCCTGAAAGTAAATAATATAACAGTGAGAATATGTGTAATTCACTGACATTGACATTTTTTTTCATAAAAATATCTATTTGTTTTCAACTCAGCTGTGGTTTGTTTCAGTTTATGACCAATTTTTAATAAATGATGTGCCCAGCTAGTACCTGTCATTTCCACAGCAGGAAATGGGAAGTCAGGGAAGGAGAGGAGACTCAGCATTGGGGGCGACCGCCCTGGAGGACTCGTACCAAGGGGTCTCCAGCTCTGTCCTGCACAGGTAAGTGCCCAGGACCTTGGCGACTGTGCTGCTCTGGAACAGGAATGGTGCGGAATGGGACGGGTACTCTCTCCAGCATGATGCTCAGGGAGAGGCTCAACTTGAGTAGCCTTGGATTCCCAGATTAGCTGGAACAATCTAAAACTCTAGAACTGTATTCTTACTGTTCATCTGGGAGTACTGAGACTTTTCTAGAAGTGGATTCACATAAAAGAATCTGGTCTGGGCTTGGGGAAAGACCTCTTCATTCCTGCCACTGTGTTCACCTTGGGAGGTTATATATTCACTCTAAGGCAACTTCCCACTCTCGAAAGATTGGAGAGAAAGGAGAAGAGACCCTGAAAGCCAGGAGAGCTTGTTGGAGTCACCCTCCAGGGAATGGAGCTGAGAATCTGGATTCGCAAGGGCTGGGAATCCTCCCTGGGGTCATGGGGAGCACATGAGGCCCCAACAAGAAACCAGACCTGTGGGAGGCCTCTGGGTGCATCTTCTGGGGAAACTGAGGTTGCTGTGCCAAACAGTGTTATCTTCAGCAAGCTGATTAATCTTTTTTATGTGTCAACTAGAAAATAATGACAAAACTTAATTTTAAGTAGTTTGTTTGAGGAATAACTCATAAAATAAAAAGTAAGCATTACTAAAATGATAAAAGTATAGTGACCATGACTTGGTCACTTTTCATTCAGAAGCCTTTTCAGAATCCTGTGACGATGCGAGCTATTATTGTGAATGTCGGCTACGTTGTATTAGTGAAGTGGGGAGGTGCAACTTCATCGAATTCTTGGTTAATGAGATTAATGTTAGAGGTGTGTGTCAGGCAGGGCCGGGGCGCTGGTGTGCAAGGTCTGGCCTGCGCCTATCAATCCTGATCAAGATGACAACCTCCCAAAAACACCGAGACTTCCTGGCAGAGCCCATGGGGAAAAGCCAGTGTGGAGCCTGGCAGGGATTGATGACATATGGGGCAAGAAGCTGAAGGAAACGGGTTTACCAAGCCTTTGGTGGTCCTTGGCAGCATCTGGTGCTAAAGAAAGATGAAGACTTCTTCTGGGACCGGCTAAAGGACACAGGTGGGGCCAATGCCAAGCAGCCCCGGGACTGCTCGGGGTGCCTTCGAGAGTGGTGCCATGCTCCTTGTGAGGCTGTCTGGGGAGCCCCCATCCCAGCACCAGCCTTGAGCCTCCAGAGTTTGCAGCTGAGTGGGGGCTGCTCCCTCGTCCTTTACAAGGGAAACGGTTGCTGTTTACTCACCTCCGATGTCCTCCAGGGCTTGGGAAAGTCCCCTCCACCCCCACTTCAGCATTTTTGGAATTCTCGCTCTTGCCTGCGCCTCCCTTCTCCTTCCCCTGCCAGTGTCAGGCCGATAACCATCAGCTTTCTGAGTGGATTTCTGGCCCCTTCCCTCACCCCACTCTCCTCTCCAGTCTGCTTTATGCCATTTGGCTTCTCTTGGGGCAGAACAGTCACTGTTTATATAAAGTTTTTAAATCAATAAAGTCAGTGGCCTTAAAAAAAAGATTTTAATTTTATATGAATTGATTCAGGAAAGCCAAATTATTATGAAGTATTATAATAGAAATTAGGGGAATATCAGCCTACCTTTTAGAAGTCCTAAGAAGAGATCACTGTTTCCAGGAGCAGCCTCAGCAATCTTTCCCAAACTCTGCATTTGTATAGCTATGGCCTTTTCCCCAACTGGCCTTCAACTACGGGAACTCTGCCTCCAGTACTTTGAGCTTTCACCAATGCAGTGATAATTATTGTTAATAATAATATAATTCTGTGTAACTACATGTTCAAAAGTATTTTCTAGTTATCAGTGACAAAAGGATTAAATATTATTTATTAACATTGCACTAGTCACTGTGCTGATCAGTTTTTAAATCATTTAAAATGCATATAGCCCTGGCCAGTTTTGCTCAGTGGTTAGAGCATTGGCCTGCGGTCCAGAGAGACCTGGGTTCAATTCCCACTAAGGGCATGTACCTCGGTTGCAATTTGTCCCTGGTCCTGGTTGGGTCATGCAGGTGGCAACCACTCGATGTGTCCCTTTCACGTTGATGTTTCTCTCTCTCTCTCCTGCTTCCTCTCTCTCCCTCCCACTCTATCTGAACAAAAAATAAGAAAATGTCCTCGAGTGAGGATAAAAATAAATAAATAAAAATGCATATATATACATATAGCATATGTAAAAATTCTGTTGATTAAATATAATTCAATTAACCAGGACATGACTTTATACAACCGTATTCTATAATGAAGTATTTGATATAAGTGTAAGAAAGTATAAAACCAAGATTTTGCATCTACAATTTGTATCTAGTTTACTGGAAATCACGTTACTCCAGGTGTTATGCACTGTTAATGCAGTAGATACCTAACACGGTGGTTCCAGTTTCGGTACAAAATTCACTGGGAAAATTATATTATACCCAGCAAATCTGTCATTTATGCATGTACAAAACTACAAGTGATACTGTTGTGCAAATGTAGGGTAAATGAACACATTCAAAAATTTAAGTCCATTCAACCCACTGACTTCTCTCCTTCCTCTGAATTTTACACCATTGTACCTTCACATGTCACCACTGCATTCTGCCCCGTATCTGTTATTTGTTAACTTGTGTGTTGTCCCTTCTGCCCCTGTTTTTTTACACAGGAGGGGGAGGGGCCTGGGTTGGGACTGATTTAGCTTTATAGTCTATGTGATCCCTAACACGGATCCTGTTCTCAGTAAGTGTTTAAATGAACTGAGCTGACTGAAAAGGTCCTAGTACACCCTATGGTGAAGATTTTGAGTGGCAACAGCTTTCAGTCCAGGTAGACACGGGTTCTAATCACGTCTCTGACTCTTGCTCACTGTGGAGCACTGGGCAAGCGATGGAGCCTTTCTGCACTTAATTTTCCTTATTCTAAACTTAGGTTATTGTGAGGAGACAGTGAAGTAATGTAAATAAGAGAATGCAAGACACTGTAAAATGCTTAGCATATCATCCGGCACTCACTAAGTGTTCATGAATGCTGGTTAAAAACAGTGAGTTGGCCACTCCCTTTGAGCAGCTAGCTACCTGTCTCTTTAGGTTAACCATTTCTCATCTAAGACCATTTCTTGGTTTTATCAACCCCGTCATAAGTGCTTTGCAAAAATTGGTTTTCCTTGTTAGACATTTTGTTCAAGTATTAACAACACCCTGTTTGGAGGGATATCTGTGTCTACAAGACAGTGGGAGGAGAAAAGAAAAGATTATTCAAAATCACTACTTACCACTAGATCAAGAATTAAACGGTGAATTATACTATTCGGGTGTGTTGAAAAGCTATGAATCCAGTTTATGAAAATGAACCCATCACACTGAATATTTTTGAGTATTAAATGTGACTAACTTGCCTCATTTAGCTGGGACTCCCTTGGTTTTGGCACCAAGTGGCTGGGGAAACCCAACTAATCTGGGAAATCTGGGACAGTCATTCACCCTGATTTACAATAATGGAACAGCTGTACATTTCTTACGAGAGCCAGTTACGGAAAAATAAATATTAAGTGGTGTGGGAGAAAGAGTACTGGCTGGATTTCACAACCAGGCCACGGCTTTTATACTGGCGTGTGCCTGCACGAGTTACCTCCCTGAGCCTTGATTTCTTCATCAGTAAAAATGAGAATAAAATACTTATTTTTTGCATAATTAGGAGGATTAAATTAGATAAAGCATGGGAAAGTATCTGGTACCAATAAAACCGTCACTTTTACTTGATTGTATTTAATTACCTAGCTCCCTAAAAATCTTTTCTCTTCCTTGAAATAAATACAAAATTATGTCTAATAGTGAGAAAAAATGTTGTTATGGGTATCTAACATCTTTGATAAATGAACTATAAGATGCAATAAATGTATTATGGCAGAAAAGAAATATTTTGAGGAGCAAAATATTTATAATAAGAACCTATTTTAATTGAGTTTTATCTTAATCTTATTACTTTCTAATTTTGCCTTTTATATCCATAAGTTTTCTGAGGAATGTCATAGAGAAGTATGTCTTTGGCTTTATTGAATCTGTTTTGCACACTCCAACACCAATAACCGTCTCAGGAGCCACCTTTATTGCATGTCCTTCCTCCATGCCTCAGTAAACGCAGGGGTGGTCCTCAGAGGAGGTCCATACTGTTGGAGTAAGGTGGCAAAGAGGGAATTCACTAATAGACCCACTGACTTTACTGACAGACTTCAAAAAACATCTCCTTTCAGGTGAGCACAAAGGCATGGAAGCTTCCTAAGGGGGGACCAGTCCCTGTGACAAGCACAGAATCAGGACATAAGTTGTCTGCGCCTTTCCCACATTATACACCACTGCACAGGCTCCAAGCAGTGTCAGTGCCTTGGGCGCAGGAGCCCTCTCTCCGTCTCTGGGGAGCGTCTTGGATCTGGGCTCCCCAGAAGATTAATAATCATTGATGAGGAAATCTTGAAGCTCTACATTATAGGTGTACAAGGTAATTACCAAGGTTGTTACCAAAACCCTTCCTCCAAAACAACAACAACAACAAAACCAGACAAAAACCATGCATGAGGAGATGAAATTTAGCTCTCCTGCATAAAATATCAAGTATTCCTAATCTTAGTCTTCAAACTTGAAATCTCCCTTAGGCCTATCTATCAACCTTCACCTAGTAGTTTGGAAGCTCCGTCTTGCTCTGACTTGGGAAAGAAAGAGTTGGGGATGGTAGGTGGGAGGGTTGGGGAAGACACCAGTGGTTCTCAGTGGACTGACCCACAGACACCATCTCTAACCAGCCATTCTGGACCTGATAGTTCTGGCCTCCAAAACACCCTCAAAGTGGGTCCTGACTCCCACCTTTCAACACAGTCTGAAAGTTTCTGAAGTCTTGTAGAAAGAGCATAAAGCCCATGTGTTGCTTCCTTTGTTTACTCAAGAAACATATTAAGTACGTCCTATGTGCCACTGTCTAGGTGTGGGGAAGCAAGTAGGAGTAAGGCCCAGACGGTGGGAGGGCCAGGTTCCTCTTCTACACCCAACAATGAACATTCCATGACTGGCCTTGGCCTCATCCAAAGAAGCAGGTACCCTGGCGAACCCAGGAAGACTCACCTGCTCCTTGATGCCTTCCCACAAGCACGTCGGCTCCCACCATGCAGCCCATCCCCAGGATGCAGACGACGATGCCGATGAAATGCACAGCCTTGTACCGGATCAGCAGGAAGAACCAGGAGAGTAAAATCACTACCGGGATCACAAAACAGTCCAGGAGCTATTAGCAGGAAGGTAAAAAACAGGAGGAGGTCAGGGGGAAGCTTTTCATGTAGTCAAGAAACATAACTTAGCTCTGTAGAAAGTCTATTTCCCCTGAACCTGAGGTTTTGTGTAGAGCCAGGACTGAAGCATTTAAAACAGATGCAGAAACAAACTCAAATTAGCTTTACTTAAACATCTCCAAGAAGACAAGGGGAGAAGGCGAATGGGTAAGATAGGCTGGTAGGAGTGATTCACCTGCCCCTGTCTTCCAGGGCAGCCTGGCTTCCCAGATTTCTCAGTGCCCTGGGCCCCAGAAACACCGCGTATGTTGGGAGAACACACTGAGCCACGTTAGATGCTCCCACCACTTTAGGAATAGATCTGGGAATGGGAGGTAAGGGGGCAGAGGTCTTATAATGTTTATAAATTATTAGAATTTACACAAAAGTTTAACTTAATTTCTCCCAGACAATTGTCTTCCCACAACCAGCAAAAGTTACTTTAACCTGTCCTTGAAATTTCACTCTTAAAAGAAAAAAGTTGCTCTAAATAGATTAATCTTGGAGGTTCACAAGTAACTAAAGCACTGTTGAAAACATAATAATAAGAGCGAGAAGTTTGAACAGAGTTTAGAAAAAATAACTTTGATTTCATTTTCTTATATATTTTGCACAAATAGTGAGATTCCGACTGACAGCCCCAAGAGTTGATGAATTCTCCCCAATCGTGCCAAGAGGTAACGTGGTGAAATGAGAAGACCCCTGTGCCAGAGGCCAGATGCCTGAACATGAGTGCTAGGTCCTCGGTGGCAGTGCAACCTTGGGCAAATCATGAACTCAGGACACCTCGATTTCCTGTTAGTAGAAGAAACGCCTACTGACTTTCCCCGAAGATCATTGTGAAGCTCAGAGATAATACACGTGAAAGCATTTTGTAAATTACTTGGGCTTGACACCAGTCTATCATCCTGTTTCCAAACACGCCCTGGGCTCCAAGCACTAGTTGTTTCTCCTACACCCTGGTAAGATGCAGTGGCCTTTGATACTCCAGGCAAAGCAGAGTCTCCACTAGACAAACGTATGTCCCACTGGACTTCAATCTCCACTTACCAAATGAGAAACTGGTGATCTTGTTGCATTGTCCAGCACAATCCTCCGCTAGAATCCTCAACAAGTGGCTCTGCTGCCCCACAACCAGATACAGAACAGTGACCCCTAGTACCCTCTCTCTTACTCTATAGTCTATTGATCACCCAGTTCTGCCAACCCCATCTTTTAAACGTCTCCCAAACGTCCTCATGCCGCCCTCTCTCACTTCCACCACCTAGATGAGATAAGTGTCCATGGCAATAATAATTAGTGGAATTACTGGCATAATGTCTGCCTTCCCCTCTTGTTCAGAGGTCCATGAGAGCAGGAATATATTCTTAGTACCCAAACCCTGTTGGGCTCATAAAATGTATCTAATAGTAGTTATTGAACAAATACATGTAAGACTTTTTAATGATCAGAACATCAAAATAGTCTCCAAGATTCATTAAAGGCTGAAAAATGTTTGTATACAGCAGTTCACCTCCCTTTTCCATCGTTTTAGTTATGTTTCACTTTCCCTGGTTTTAGTTATCCACACTCAACCACGGTCTGAAAAAATTGCATGAAAATTCCAGAAATAAACAATTCAGAAGGTTTAAACTGCTTCCCGCTCCGAGTAACCCAGGGTGTGAATCATCCCTTTGTCTAACGTATCTATGTTGTATACATTTCATCACTTAGTAACCGGCTCAGTTTTCAAATCGGTTGTCATGGTACCACATTGCTTGTGTTCAAATAACTCTTATTTTACTTACATTGTTATAATTGTTCTATTTTATTATTAGTTATTGTTCTTAATCTCTTACTGTGCTTAATTTATAAATTAAACTTTATCATAGGTATGTATATATAGTAAAAAACATGGTATACACAGGGTTCGGTACTATCATCGGTTTCAGGCATCCACTGGGGTTCTTGGGACATCTCCCCCATGAATAAGGGGGGACTACTGTATTTGCGAAGCACCCCTGACTGTCAGAATGGTTTTTCGGCATTGTAAGCAGCTCTCAGAATCCCCTCTGCTCCTAAAGCTTTTTGTGACCTGGGCAGATCCTCATGCTCCTCTGTGCTTTGGTCTTTGCAAAATGAAACAAGCAATCAGAATGTCAGCTGTCCCCGGGGCTGCTGTGAGATTAGGTGATGGAAGGGCCTTGTGAACAGTAATTTAACACTGGGGGCTGAGCCGGGAGGTGACAGTACTCCGGAGGGGCTGTGTGGGAGGGAGGTGGCTGCTGGGACTGTACTATAATAGCACCGGGTTGCTCACTGCATAGTTAATTAGCAAATTAATGACCCTACTTGATGTGGTAAAATGCTCTAAGGCAGGTTTTATAACTGGCTTCAAATGTCATTCAAGAACACTAGGAAATTTCAGTTTGCTAGTGAAAACTGTTCACTGGGCATAAAACAGTTGGTGTTTTGTTTTAAAAATTAGAAATGATTGGATCAACAGTGGAAATATTTAGCTACATACTCCACAGTTGGGATTTCATTATCTGGCTAGAAGCCTTTGGTCTTCAGAGCTGAAGACCTCCATTCTTGAATTACTGAAGGCAAACTAGGCCATCATCCAACCTTTGGGGAGGACTGAAGTGAGTTCTCAGTGTCATTGAAAGTCCCAAAGCATATGATAAGCTCTGGGATCTATTCCCTTAATGGGTTGAGCTAACAACAACAACAAAAAAAGCCACGTTCTATTTGCTGGCGAGACTGTTAGGATTTCTGAGACACTGCAGGTAGAGAAGCGTGGTGCCCAGCATGCAGTAGGTGGCCAGTGATGGGTGGTCAAGTGATTGATGAATACACAGCCACTTGCTATCACCAACTGTCCGAAAGGACGTTAGAGATAATCCAGGCTGCTACTGGCAATTTGGGTGAAACACTCCTTCATCCTGCAGGAATGCCCCATATTCTCTGCAGAATAGAGCTGGGCTCTGACTACTAAAAAAAAAGCTTCTACACATTTACAAGTGCCCCTTGGGGGCAGTATCTCCCCAGTTTAGAATCACTGTGACCCCTTTATCTAAAAGTTGGGAACTCAGATGTTTCCAAATAAGCGATGTGCTCGAGGTCACTCACATTGTTGACAGCAGTAATGGTGCTGTCATGATTCTTTTCGAGCAGTATTTTAATAAAGGTCAATTAGAGAGTTGCCACGGGTGGAAGGCTTGCTCGAGGGCTCACTACCATATCTGTAACTACAGAAAAGAAACCACAAGACCACTGATGTTAGTAAACAGGCTACTCTTTTCCAGTGATTTCTTTTTTAGCTCCAGCCTTTCCCTGTGGTCATATAGTGCAAAACATACTACAAAATGATTTTCCAATAGTTTTCGGGTAGCTTAATTCCATAACCAAGTGGTTGTTTAAGTAATAAAAAGAAAGGCAGTATAATAGATGCCTGTTAAAAAAAGAAAAAGAACCAAGAAACATTCTGATTCTGCCATTAAGCTGTTAATATATTTGCCTTTCTTTGCATACATTTCTATAACCAAAAGAAAATGATAAAATATTAGTACCAAAAAATAAACAAATGAATACTGTTTCATAATCATCTTATACTCTGAAAATTCTCAAAGAACTTTAAGAATACTTTGGGGGAAAAAAAAGTTCATTACCCCTTAAATTTACATAGCATTTTCCCCCTTGAAGATTTCAACTAATTTTACTCTTCTCTATCATTAATCCTCAGGTGATAGGGAGGCCCACAATTCCACATCATCTGATTTCATTGAGATACACCATGTTTAGTGGCTGGGCAAATTCTCTTAAGTAATGGTGATAGCACCAGGATTATTAGTTGAACTCGGTAGTTTTAAATACCATTTACAGAAAATTGTACTAAGTTTACATTTATAGTTTGCTAAACACATGCTGTTTTTACTTAATCTTTGTAAGAGCCTTCTAAGGGAGTTTATGAGTATATCCATTTTATAGATAAGAAAGTGGAGGGTTCAAGAGTAAAGCAAGTGAGTGTCAGAGTTTACGTGTACTTTTCAAGTTCTTTAAATAGTAAAAAAATTTATGTTGGCATTGCTTTTAGGACAACAGAGTAAGTCAACATTAAGTGACATTAAAGTTTTTCTTTTTCTTTAAGTACAGTATATACTTCTTCAGCTCGGGAAGAGTATAGCTCCCTCCTCTCTCTTCAACTTCAGCCAATCTCACCACTGGATCTTCTCCTGCAGTCTTTGATCACATGTGGCAATGCTCTCTCCTGCGTGCACGCGCGTGCACACACACACACACACACACACACACCTCTCCCTGGCTGCCAACACCCACTCAAGCCTCTCTCTTCCTTTCTATGCTGCTTCCATATGTATCCACTCCCCAGACCACCTCAGTCTGGTTTAAGAGGCACTGAATCTGGTTTCCATGCTCACTCTTGAGTCCCTCTCTGGCCTAACATGGTCACTGCACTCACCCAGTAGTGACGTATTTTCAGGCTATTGGGAACAGAACCAGGGAAACACAGAAGATAAGGTCCCTGGAGGTGGTAGGAAGGTCCTGTGAAATTATGTGGACCAAAAGGTTGAAAAACATTCTGCAAAATCAGGATACAAATGGGGTTATCTATCCACTATGAGGAGGTTTGGTAGTGCGTAAATGCAGATTTCACTGATAGGCTGAAAACACGTCATCTACTGGGTGAATGTAGTGACCATGAAAATGCGCTTACTGCAAAACAGCCTTATATTGCCTACACTTGTTTTTTGATTTGGAACAATATTAAATGAAGCCTTTTGGGGACAAATCCAAATCTTTTCCCAGATTCTTATAGAATTTCCAATGAAATTTTTAAATGTAGTTGCTGGAAAACATCGGTCGAAGATAAATTATGAGTTTCAAAAAGGGCATAGTGATACATCAGTTTAAACATGGTAGAGGTTTTGGGATTATTTTAAATTAAATAGAAAATGTA